ATCTGGCCTCAGCCTGCTTCTCAGAACTCTCTCTTACCAGGGCCCTTCACATGCACTCTGCTTCAGCCACAATGGCTTTTGTTCCGTCCTTCAAACACATGAAGCTCATTCCTGCCTCTGAGCTTTTGCAGTTGCTGTTCCTTCTGCCTGGTATGCTCTTCCCTCAGATCCTTCTCATTATTCAAGTCTTATTAGCTCAAATGTCACCTTCTCAAAGAGGACTTTTCTAACTGCCCCATCAAAAAAATTTTCCCATCTCACTCCATCTCTCTATATCATATTGTTATGTTGTCTTCATAGCATTTATTGCCACCTGAACTTATGTTGTTTATTTTTTGCCTCTCCCCATTAGAATGTACTCTCCATTAAGGCAGGGATCTGGTCTGTCTTATTCATAGCTTGTCCTCCAAGTATATAGGCACTCAATAAATGAATGATAAATAAATTAGCACCATTGTACAGATAAGGAACTGAGTCTCAGAAAGATAAAAGTGACTTGCTGGGGGCGCCTGGGTGACTCAGTGGGTTAAAGCCTCAGGACATGATACTAGGGTCCTGGGATCGAGCCCAGCATCGGGCTCTCTGCTCGGTGGGGAACCTGCTTCCCCCTCTCTCTCTGCCTACTTGTGATCTCTGTCTGTAAAATGAATAAATAAAATCTTTAAGAAAAAGAAAAAGTGACTTGCTGAGATCCTAAAGCTTGTTACATGGCAGAGTTGGACCCAAGAATCTAGGTGATCCGAGACCAATGCTCACAGTTTTCCCAGCTACAACACATCTCCAGCCATTTCTCTCCTTCACCCTCTTCCCATTCATTGTCTACTTCTCCTGCATTTACCTTGCCTTATATCTTTCGCTTTTCTTTTCCTCCCCTTCCTACACCTTTGCTTGTTCCTCCCCAGGCCTGGTTCCCAGCCTTGCTTTTTTCTCCATTTATATTTCTCTTTTGGTTTCATCTCAGTTCTCCTGGGAGAGTCCCTGCTGTTTTCTAGGGCAGTTCCCCTAAACCTTCTGGAAGCCCATGGAAGTAACAAAAGCTGCCTCTTTTTTTGGTGATGCAGTGGAATATGGGACACCTGCCTTGCTGCTTTCCAGAGACAAAGGGATGTGGGTGTTAGAAGAAAGGGATTTGGGGCCATAAGCTTGGTCCTAGGGAGCAAGTTCTCATTCTGCTTCCCTTAAAAGATGCAGAGTCCCCTTCAGTCCCCTCTCACTGGCTCATTGCTCTTCCCATGGTGTCCTTGTATGGACAGGGAAAAGTAGTCTGGTTTGGTGTTCAGCCCTAATTACCTGATCCCCCCCATCCCAGAACAAAGGGAAAGGAATACAGGTGTGAAGGGAGGAAGCTGAAGGAGAGAAAAGGGAGCTTGTCAGCCAGAGAGAGAAGATGTGAAATAGGAGGGCAAGAAAGGGCAGGGGAGGGCAGAAGAGCCAGGCAGTGATGCAAAGAAGAGCAGCTATTAGGTAGAGAAGAGAATGGAGAGAGGAGAAAAAAGTGAGAGTAGTAAGCAGAAAATGAGGAGAAAGGACTGAATTAGTTTACATTTGTCTGCTAGGCTTCAGCCAAGCCCTCAGGACAGAAGCACTCGGATGGCCGCCTGCCCTCCAGCCCGAGTGCTGGGAATTACCTTGGAGCTGCTGGATCTGCTTGGTGAACACCTCTGCCTGCTGGGCGCTGGCCAGCCGTTCATCCTCCAGGAGCCCTGCAGGGAGAGGGGGAGCAGGCGTGATCCTGGGATCCAGGGAGCCCAGGGCTTCCGGCCCCCTCCCGGGCGCTTACCCTGCAGCTCCAGGGAGTCATCCTCATGCTGCCCCGCCAGCTCCCGGGTCTCCTCCAGCTCTGCCACCAGCTGTAGCACCTGAGCCCTCAGCTCTTCCAGCTCTGTCTCCGTGAGGCTCAGGCCCCGGTGCTTGCTGACGGATAGGGAGCTCACGCTGCCCCCTTTCTGCACCTGTTCTTCCTCTTCTTCCACCTCTTCTTCCTCCTCCTCCTCTTCCTCCTCATAGAGAGCGGGGAGCAACACTTCCCCTGGAGGAGAAACCCACCCCACCAGGCGCTCAGCATCGACTTCCTTTCCAGAGTCCTTCAAGGAACTCTGGAAAGCTCATGGTCCCAGGGCAGGGATGGTATAATAGTGCCACCTGGTGTCCCCCAAGGAGCCCCTGGGCAGGACCTGCACTCATGATGAGTCCTCAGGTGGAAGGTCACCCAGCCTCCACCTGGCCCAGGCTCTTTCTGGACCGGGACTGTACCAGGTGGCCTCCTATCAGTGCCTTCGGGCAAACTGAGCAGCTGGGGGCAGGTTAGCCATGTGAGCTGGCACAAGGATACCTGCTTCTTCCAGTCCTGGTGGTCCCTGCGGTGTGGGACAAGTACTCAAGAAAGGATTCAAGACACTGGGTATGTCTTTAGGCTGAATGGGGCAAGGGTCACAGTTCGAGGTTTGTCCAAAGTTAAAAAGTTATCCAGGTGGCTTGGGAAAAATTAGCCTTTCCATAATTAGAAAGAGTTAGTTGCCTATCAGTAGTTAGAGAAAAGAAAACATCTGAATGAAACGATTCTAAGTATTTCAACGGAAAAATCCTGGGGCCCTTTCTTATTTATTTATGTATTATTTATTTATTTGACAGACTGAGATCACAAGTAGGCAGAGAGGCAGGCAGAGAGAGAGGTGGAGGCAGGCTCCCTGCTGAGCAGAGAGCCCGACGTGGGACGTGGGGCTCGATCCCAGGACCCTGGGATCATGACCTGAGCCGAAGGCAGAGGCTTTAATCCACTGAGCCACCCAGGCACCCGCCCTTGGGGCCCTTTCAAATGTATTTTCACGTAGCCTTTTTGAAATTTTCTGCAAGGTCCACCTTTCTTTTCTCTGCAGAGTGTCAGGAGGCCTCGCCCTTCCATGACTGTTATGAAGCCCCTCACTCCACGCTGACCATAGGGCAGTTTTCACGTTCAAGTCCAAGGTTGTACTTGTGTGTAAAAGAGATCCTACCAGGGAACCTGGGTGGCTCAGTGGGTTAAGCCTCTGCCTTTGGCTCAGGTCATGATCTCAGGGTCCTGGGATCGAGCCCTGCATTGGGCTCTCTGCTGGTCAGGAGCCTGCTTCCCCCATTCTCTCTGCCTGCCTCTCTGCCTGCTTGTGATCTCTCTGTCAAATAAATAAATAAAAATCTTAAAAAAAAAAAAAAAAGAAAGAAAGCCTACCATTTTAATGCACAAGAAACTGGGGTATAGTGGTCCCTAGCCTCTGGTTGGTGAGTACCCCCTCCTTTGCTGCAATGCAGTTCCTTGAAATAGCAACATTTTATCAGAACACTGATTATTTGCTTTGTTTTACAATTCTGAATCCCTGGTCTCACAACAGCAGCCCAAGGTTCATCTGGGACCCCTTGTCTGCGTCATCTGTCCCCCTTAGGGGAGCAGGGTTGCCCACACAGTGTGCACGTGGACCTCGGGACACTTCACAAGAAGTCCCAGGAAGCGGACCGGCATCCTCTCAGGGGCCTGGTGTTGGCAGCAACTGCCAAGTCACAGGGGTGCGGTGGGGATATGTGAGTGTGGAAGGTTGGCCTTCTCACCAGCCCCATCCCAGGCAATTCTTTCAGGCCTGAAGAGATCCTAGAGAATCAAAGCCAAAAGGCTTACATTCAAAGTTAGTGGTGGTGGCACCAGAAAGAGAATGCTCACTTCACATGCTCACTTCCCTGCTTTTCAAAAATATGAGACAGCTTGGGATCTGGGTCGGGTGGCAGTGAGAACAAACCCCCTGCTGAAAGGCTGCTTCAAAGCCCTGTCCAACGAGGCCTCTTTCTCTGTCTGGCAGCTCCCCCAGGACCCACAACCTGGTTAGCTGGTGATTAGGGCCCCAAAGGGATGTGCCCAGAACCTCCCTCAAAGCCTGAGCGCTGAGGAGGGGTAGAACTCAGACCTAAAGGGTGGAGGGGGCTCAGGTGAGATAGAGAAAGGGCTCTTTCCTGGCTGGGAGTTCTAAGGACCAGATGGGGTAAGGAGGAGGGAGGGGCAATTGGCTGAGGGGAGAGAAACAAAGCTTTTTTTGGAAAACTCACCCTCCATTGCTTGCATCCCCCGCCGCTCCAGAGACCCCCAGCGTTGGCCCTTCTTCCTTTCACAACCCTCAGATGCCTCATAGGAGCCTAAAGTGGTCACTGTGGGTCCTGTGAGCAAGGAGAGAGGAGGTGCGGTGGGCTGCCTGGGGGGCTGGGTTGCCCAGGAGAGAGAAGGGGACGTGCCTTCCAGCCCTCTGGAGCCCCGGACTTTTTTTATCCCAAGTGAGTGCTTGACTCACTCTGCCCAGGCTGCGACTTTCCTCCCTCAGCCGCCTCTCGAGCGGGGCCTAAGGGGACCCCGCCCTGTGCTGCCCAACCCTCGCAGCATCCCCTGCTCCAGGCTCCTTTCCCAGCACGGAGAGAAAGGGTGTGTGTCTCTTTAGCGGGGAGGGGACAGGGAGGAGACCCGCAAGGATGGAAGCGAGGGCAAGGGCCAGGGAAGATGAGGCTGAAAGGGTGAGGTGGCGCGTGGAAGGGGAACGAGGTGATGCGGTGGGTAGGGAGGGGCGTATGGCAAGGGGTTCCGGGCCGGAGCCGCTCCCCTCCTGTCCATTCTCCCCCTGGACCTCGTCCACCCCAACCTCGCCCTGCGCTTGAAGCCTTCGGTCCGGAGTGGGCGCAGGGTCTGGGGCCCCCAGGGCTGGACGGTTCGGGGCGAAGGACCGCCGGGGGAGGATGCGACCGGTGTGGGGAAGACCCAACCCGGAAAGATGGAGACCGGGCCCGGGGTGTGGGGCAGGATGGAGGGAGGAAGACGGGACGGAAAGGTGGGAGCAGCGGAGGGAGGGTGGGGTGGGGGGGAGAATGAGGGGGTCTGGAGGGAGGAGAGATGGAGAAGAGGAAGGAGTGGCGGCGGAGAGGTGAGGGAGGGGCGGCTCTGACCTGGGCCCGGGCAGCTCCAGCCCGTGGCGCCGGCCCCGGCGCCCGCCTCCATGACCGCTCGCGCCGCCGCCGCCGCCGCCGCCGCAGGTAGGAGACGCCGCAGCCTCCAGGCCGGGGACCCGGAGCCGGGTGCGCAGGGGGAGGGAGGGCGGGCCGAGGGGGCGGGGCCTGGCCGGCCACCTGACACCGCCCCCGCCCGGAAGCCCTCCCTGCACCGAGCTCCGGGACCTGGTGGAGGCGAGCCGGCGCAGAGAGGCCAAGGGAGCCCGTCCCCCGACACACCCCAGGGCCCGGGCGTGGGAGAGGGGGATCGGACGGGAGCTACTCGGGGCTTGAGGTTGCCCCAGGAGTGGCCACAAGATCCCCTGGTTCTGGCGAAGGGTCCTGCCCCCAGTCGGCTGCTCTCGGGGGGACCCCTCGCCGCCCCGTGTCAGAGCCCCGTCCCGCGCAGCGATGGGGGAGGAGGACAGAGCGGGACGAATCCTCTGGTCCTGTTTCCTCCAAACGCTCAGACACACGCCCACCAAGCAGGACCCGAGTCCTCCACCTCCTCAATGGACGCGGACCCCAGGCCACCAAGCCCCATTCCTGTGCGGTGGCCTCTTGCGTCCCAGGGTTGCGTGAAGGCAGGAGAAGGGAAGTCAAGGCGAAGATCCGTGAACTGCAGGGCCCTGATCTCTCTGCTTTCCTCGCGCCGCCACCAAGCAAGAACCAGGGACTCTCTCAGGAGGGCCGCTCCTTGGCCCCACGCACTCCTCGCTGCCTGAAGACCTCTTCTCTCCACCGCTCTGCCTTCCCACCCTGCCCCACACCCTCTGAGCTTCGAGCCACCACCCCTACTCACCCTGCCTCTGTAGCACTACTGATTTTCGCTCTCACACGAAGGAGATGTGGAAACCAGAGGGCTTATTTCACTTAGTCATTCATTCAGGGAACATCATCTACCTGGTGAGTGCGATCTTAAGGAGGCAATTGTTCTCACGTCTCTCCAGGTCTCAGCCAGTAAAGAAGTGAGTACACTCGAGAACCAGGCAGTCCCAACACATCCAGAAATGTATTAGGAGATGCTTGAGCCAGGGACACACACCAATCCCTTTCCTTCCATATCCACTCACCAGGTTATGGACATACATTGTCTGTGTTCACGCCCACGGGCATCCAGGTTCAGGAGCCCTCCATATTCTTCAGGAAAGAGGCCCTTTTTGCAGGGACATCCCTACTTATTCTTCAGCCATCCATGGGGAGTCACCCCTAGCAGCCTTCCCTGATGCCCACCCTTAGACCAGTAGAGAGGCCAGCAGTGCCCCTCCCATCCTTCCTTTTAGGGCAGCCCCTGTCACTTTCAGGTGTCAAGGTCAGGTGTATACTCTTGTGCCTGCCCAACTTCTGGAAGATTGGGAAGTACTTTAGTCATTTTTGTATGTCCAGCATCTGACGAAGTATCTGACACAATGAATGAGAAAGGTAAATCTCTCAACTACCCAGTGAATGCTCTTAACATTCAATATATGATTTCACATGGAGTTAAATGTGACCTATTAAGCATAATGTTGCCCTATAAATGTCTCCCTCCCCCCACCTCTTTTTTTCCTCCCTCTCAAACCCCCAGCTTGGTGCTCTGAGAAATGAGGAGCTCAGATCAAGAGGGTTTCATTTGCTCCTCAGAAGATAGGATTACACCCCAGATCCTGTGGTCATGGTGATCTAGGTGTGGGGAAAGGCTGTTGAACAAGCCCACAAAGACCCCATTCAGGGAGTCTGCTGCGAATATCGGGCCTGTTCAAACATGGCTGGCATGGCGGTGGCAGGGTGTCAAGATGGGGGCATAGAGCTCTGGAGACTGACAATCTGGAAGGTTGGAAGCGCAATGGCTATTTGCTCTTCCCAAGCACAGCCCATTGTAGTCCTGGCTCAGCCAGCAAGTTCAGTTAACAGTTGACCTTGACTGTCAACTTCTTGGTTCATGGAGGGAGGGGCAGGAGAGGAAGTTGTCCACTATGACATCCAGTGATCTAGGCTTTCCTCAGGGAGTTCTGATCCTGAGTATTAGGACTAATCTCTCCTTGGCTCCTGGGGTGCAGGTCACTGTTCACCCTTGATTTGGGGAGCATTCAGGAGAGACCTGAACCACTCTGTTTTCAGGACCCAAATTTGGGCAAATCCCAGCCAGATCCGTACTGGGTTGAGGGTGGGGGTGAAGTTAGGAGGCAGGAGGTAAAGACTTAGCTAGCATGGGTGGAAGGGGACTGTGGTCCAGGGATGCATATGTGAAGGGCCCTGGAGTGGTGGGGATGCCAGCCAGGTAATCAGTTTAGGGGGGATGATCTGACTTAATCCTTGTAATCCCTGTACTCTGGACTCAGCCTCCCCCTAATCCCATCCCATCAGATCATCCCCTCTGAGGATCAATGCAGCCATTTATCTCCCTTTACCCTTATTTCGAAAGGCCCATTAAAAAAGAAAAAAAGAAAGTGAATATTTCAAACAAGCAGAAAAGCACAGTACAGAATATAACAACAAATAGCCATGTACTTACCACTGAAATCCATGTATTTGATTCAGAGATAGCCCCTCTATTTATGGTTTTACAGTTTTACTTTATATGTTTGTATCCACAAACAACAAAATATTGATTCGTGTATTTAAAAAATCTCTCTGGGGGCTCCAAGCTGCCTCAGTTGGTTGGTCATGCGACCTTTGATCTCCGGGTCCAGAATTTGAGCCCCACTTTGGGCCTAGAGATAACTTAAAAATAAATAAACATTCTGCAAACTTTCTTCTTCTCTCCACATTTTTTTAAGCATACATCCGTATTTCATTTAGCACTAATTAATGAATTTTAACTGCTGAATATTATTTCAGTGTTTGAATATATCACAATTTATTCGTTCTTCTGCTAATGGGCATCCAGGCTGTTTCCAATTTTTCTGTGTTAGAAAACAACACCTCAGAGGTGCCCAGGGTTGCGAGACTGGCCCACATGGGCTCCTGCTTGGCCCTCGGTGGGGAGGCTGCTTCTCTCCTTCTCCTTCTGCCCCTCCCCTGGCCCCACTTGCAGGTGCTCGCTCTCTCAAATAAATAAATAAATAAATAAATAAATAAAAAGAAAACAATGTTTTAGTGGTCAGTGCTGTGCCTGTGTCTCTGGCATATACGTAAGCACTTCTCTAGTGTAGATACCGAGAAGTAGAATTTCTGGGTCATGGAATATGTGCACCTTAAACTTTACTGATTTTTACCAAATGGCTCCATAAAGCCATTGGACCAATTTACCTTCCACTAACAGTAGCTTTCAGGGCTCGTTTAAAGTCACTAATGTATTTATAAATTTCTCTGCTCACCATTCCTTCTTGCATTTCACTCCTTCCTTATTTGTTCCCTTCTTATGAAGGGTATATTTTAGCAGCATTTCAGTGAAAGTCTTTGATGAACATTCTCAAATGTCTTTATTTCATACAATTTAAATAGAAATGTAATGGGCATAGAATTTTAGATTGACAGCTTTCTCTTGACCTTTGGAAGATATTCTCTTTTTTTCTATAGTCTTTTGTTGCTAATGCTGTCTTATGCTTTCACTAGTATCTTTTAACTATTCTTCCATATTTTATATCTCATCACTTTCCCCTCTCCATATTTTGAGTGATTTCACCAGCTCTATCTTTCCATTCACCAATTCTCTTATCAGCTGGGTCTAGTTTACTTTTTAATGCGTCATTGAGTCTAATTTCAATGGTGTGTCTTTCCTCGTGTTTTATTTTTTTCCCTAAATAAGGTGCTTTTTTTTTTTTTTTAACAGTGCAACATTTTCATTATGGTTTATTTTCTTGTCTTTAATAATTTTAAGTATACTTACTATATAGTGTTTTTCATGTTGTTTCCTTATGTTGCTGACTCTTCCTTATGGTGGATTGCTTCCTTGTCTAGTTTGATATTTTATTGTGAACACTTCTTCAGTAGGTGTTTGTTTCCTCAGTGAGAGTTCCAATGCCCTATGTTATGAAACATTGCAACAGAGTGCTTTTTTTCTTTTTTAATTTTTTAAAAAAGAAAAGGAATTTTTTATTTTAGAGAGCAAGCAAGAGCAGAGGGAGGAGCAGAGGGAGAAAGAGACAATCCTCAATCAGGCTCCCCATGGAGCCAAGTGCAGGGCTCTATCCCAGGACCCTGAGATCACGACCTGAGCTGAAATCAAGAGTCACTGCTTAACTAACCGATCCACTCAGGTGTCTCAATGACAGAGATCTCTCTTGCTTCTGTGAGGCTATACGGTATTCCAAGTGTACTGAACCAGGTTTAGATTTAATTTCTCTGCTTGGAGATTGAGTGTCATATAGATAACATAAATCCAATGCAATACAAGCATCTGCTCAGGCTCAAGACTTTAATTTCTGGGATGACTTGTGTTTCTATTCCTTTTCGTTGGTTCCTTGGACTGGTGTGCATCATTTTTCATCTTTTTTCCATGGACAAAGTAGATCTTTGATGTTCTAAGCTTTGTGTAGGGGATTCAGACCCAGCTTCTCGTCTCTGGTGGGCTGAAGTAATGTATCTTATAACTAGAAGCACTAAAACACAGCTCCAGGTCCCTGGGTTTATATCTGTTTCTGAAACCCACCATGGGCCACTGTGACAGCTTCCTCTTCTCTTCTCTTTTGTTTTTTTAGAAGATTTTATTTTTAGAGAGAGAAAGAGAGAGAGAGAGAGCAAGCATAAGTGGTGGGAGAAGCAGAGGAGAGGGAGAGAGAGAGAATCTCGAGCAGACTCCACACTAAGCACAGAGCCCCACTCGGGGCTTGGTCCCACAACACTGAAATCATGACATGAGCTGAAATCAAGAGTTAGTCACTCAACCAAGTGAGCCACCCAAGAGTCCCCTACTTCTCTTTTCCTTGGCTTTGTATTCCTTCTTTAATTCTGATATCTGGGAATTTCCTTCCTTTTTTTTTTTTTTTTTTCCAAGTAGGCTTCATGCCTAGCATGGAGCCCAGTGTGGGGCTTGAACTCACAATCCTGAGATCAAGACCTGAGCTGAGATGGAGAGTTGGATGCTTAACCAACTGAGCCACCCAGGAAATTTCTTTTCTTTTCTTTTCTTTTTTTTTTTAAAGAAAATTTTTTGCCCCATCCAAATATTAATTTTGTTTCAATGCTCTTTTTTTCTTTTAATTTTTAAAGTAATCTCTACACCCAATGTGAGGCTTGGACTCATAACCCTGAGATCAAGAGTCACATGTTCTACCAACTGAGCCAGCCAGGCACTCTGATACTAATTTTTAAATCCTATTGTATTCAACCTTTCTGTGTGTGTGTTTTAGGGACACTGGGTGAGGAGATAGC